TGGTATTCATAAGTTATGTTCTCCTGCTCAGGTTATGGTGCATTGATAGGAGAATTTCAAGATCACTAGTGGATTCAGGGAGGAGCAAAGGGGACGGTGCACGTGTCCCCTCCTCTATTGTGGACAATGAAGACAATAAATGACAATATCCATTGACCACTTTGTGCCAAGCAGTTTTTTCAAGTCATTTATAGGTCATTTCATCTCAAGTAACCGAGCAAATGCTCCGACCCTCTCTGTTTTGAGCCAATTTTGGTGAGTCTACTTATTTTTTGATATGATATGATATAGAACTACCACTCACTGTAGCAAGACAACTGTCGGTAGACTGTGGGCTATCCTCGCTGTTCGACTTGATAATGTTTAATAACCTCTAGTTGTACCTCGAAATAAATGAGAATCTCCTTCCAACAACCGGTCAAAAAACAGATCACCCAACATGAGAATGTCCCAATGAGTGGGGAGAAGAGGCCACGAAATGTTAAAGATAGGCAGTTAGCATTTCCACTCTTCCAATTCATTTCACTTCAATGCATAAAATGTTTCATATAATAATGGAATGAAAGTTAAGAGGAAAATAACGGAAGATCTCACTCGATATGTTGCAAAGGAATCCATGACATCACAATGATTTCGAAGAGCTCCCATAGAGATGCTGCCACTATTTTTTCAACCGGTGTTAAAAGCCGCACCCTTGTCTTGCCTCCGTGGATAATTCCAAGGGCATTTCTAGTAGAATATATTTATAATTCTGACAAGAAGTTGTAGTCTTTTCTTATATGAATTGCATGACAACTTTATGCAAGTACAAGTTAATTTTAAGCAGAATTATGTTAGCAAGCTTCAGCGAAGTCTTGGAAAAATCAATACAAATTTGAAAGACATCTTAGGATAAATTCCAGCAAGATTCTCAATTTTATTTTAAGAATTCTGTAGAGAACTCTGTGACGAGAAACTATTTTAAAGAAAATGCAAGTAAACACACCAAAGATATCCTGTATTGAATTCTAGGCAGGGTTGTTAATGACGCTAACGTCAGCGTTAACGTCTTAAATGGGACTTTGCATTGAAGATATTAACGTGTATATTTATCTTCGAAATCCTTTCGACTCAATCGCATTAAGTTTATTGCTTTAATTTAAATGTATATCGTACATCCGGAATTAGGAATAGAACCAAATGAGTCTAATTATATAAGGCATTAAATCATTTGTCTGGCATCTGGCCTATTACTCCATCTTAAAATAAAAATTTTCCTCCATATTTCGAAACCCAAGAACCATGGCAAGTTTTATCGATGTTTCCAAGCATTCTACAACTCTAAATCATGGTCTACAAAACCCTCATAAAACCAAAATCGTTCCTTGAGAACTTGGCTACGCCCTTGAATATAACTAGTGTAAAATCGAGCAGATCCCAACAATCAATTTTAGCTGCAGACTAGCTTACCCGAGCAAAGTCTGAGATCAAATTGAAAACTAAATTTGATGTTGTGAATTCGCTGATAATGGTTACTCAGGTTGCTGTCGTTTTGGTTGTTTTAACGGTTAAAATATCAAAGTTGAGAGCATTCAAATCTTCTTGTGACATTAAAAACTATTTCTGATATCAGTGAGAGCAAACTGAAAACTAAATTTGTTATACATTTTTCCTGTTGATAACAAACAGTTCAATTTGATGCAATGAAAACAAACCCGCAATTTGAAAAGCAAATGTGCAACAAAATGAAGACAAAATTTGTTTTAAAATTTGTTAATTGCGTAAACTGAAATAATTTGATGTTTTTTAGTTTAATGTTGATATCAAAACTTGATTTCGGTTTGCTGTCATTTTGATGCTGAACTTTGCTCGGGTATGCAGTCAAAAAGTCAGTTTTTGGCTGTATAAGCTTATCTGCTACTATATTTGTTAGTTGAGAATGATTTAATTTTTTTAAATTTCTTTATTAATTAAAGTTTAAGCAGCAAGTTAGTTCATATTAGTCAAGCAGATTGAGAATGATTCTTCAGATTGCGATAAATAGTCCCTCCCAAAAGTTGTCGATTCATGCGAAAACAATCTCGCCGGACCGTAGAATCAGTTAATTTCAGCGATGTATACAAGCGTACTCTTTCAAACGATGCATTACATTCGATAGTTTTTCATCAAATCATAGAACTCAATTCCATCTACCAACGGAAGTATGTGCATCCACCGTAGCCTAAAGCCTCCGTTCAAGCTAAAGAATGGTGAAACTTTTCAATCCGACAAAATGTAGCCATTTCAAATGTGCTACTTCCATGTTCAGACAATGCTCTCCAGAAGACGGTAAACAAGTCCAAATCCTGCCATATTTCCATCCAACTTTTCTCGAAAGAAAGAACTTCCTGTCGGTTTTTCATCCAATTCAAACCATAAGGAACAAACACATCACACACACTCACGGAAGACAAGAAGATGTTGGAGATCCTTTCTTGTACCAAGACGTCGTACATCTCACACGCGAGAGCCCCCAAAACAGCAAAGCCATAGTCATCACAGTTTCTTGCAGTGCTGCGGTTCCCATTCATCATCGTCCTTTCCCCCTTGCTCACACTCCCTTTCTGGTACGGTCTGCTTGGAAGACAGCCGAAATCTTCCACATGAAAGTTAGACTGCAAAACATGTCAGCAATGTATCATTCGCACTTTGTGCCACGCGGAATCTCGGGCCAACGCGACCATCAATAGGGAAGAACACATTTCAAGAATGTCTTGGCTTTCGGCTCTGTCCGTCTGTCTCACTGCTCCCTTCGATAAACCGATTAAGATTTCATCCCATTGTTTTCGTGTCCCAGGTGAATAATTTAGTATCGGAGGCGTATTTTCAGCCGGGAATCGATCTCTGAACCCAGAGACTGACATGGTTTCTTGGAATTTATCAAACTCGGCAGGTTTAGCCAAATCGGCGATCAGTTGAATGCGCTGAATTGAATTTCTGTATATCACGTTCCCACATCAATCGATTGGCTGGGTTTTCAAGCAACCATGGGCAGTATGGCAAAATACTTGGAATTGAGTATTGTTTAGAGCTGTCTTCCAAAGTCAGGTTTCTTTGTTTTGAAAAGCAATAAATCTCAACCGAAAACGCTGTCAATCAATGAGAATTTGCATTCGGAGTTCACAGACGCTTAGATTAAAATAGTCTTTTAGTTTATCCGTAAATCATTGTTTCATTTGCAAAATAACCATACACAGCTTTGCTCGGATTATCCTTTCTCTCATAAATGCTCATTGCGATAAAGCATTTCGTAAATTTCTTAGGAAAGCATTCTCACATTAATTTCAATAATCCCGACGACCTGGCAACAATAAACATCCGCCGACCGTGTTCCGGCAAACAATCGAAAACGGAAAAGTTTACAGTAGGTACCAAAACCACACCAGCAGCGAGCGCCAGCGGAGGAAACGATAGTATAGTTGAGTCGTGATTCTTTTCTATTGGTCCACGTGCCCGAAAAGAATTATTTTATTGTTCCATTCTTTAAATTGAAAAACGCAAATTGAGATGAAATGGAAGGAAACTCCACTCCGGTGAGAGCAAAAAAAAATGAACGAAGGGTCGCGCCCGAAGTAAGGAGGCAAGAAAAGCCACCAGCGGTCCGATCTCCAACCAAGGAAATGAGGGATCTTGGAGAAGGTGAAAACCACAACCCTGTGTTTATGCAGCAGCAGCAGCAGCAGCAGCACGCACAATGAAATGGATGAGAAAAATAAAATCGGCTCCAGTCATATGGAACATTTTATTTTTGCCAGGAAATCCTTTTTGCTTATGTTTATCATCCGAGATGGTTTTCTTTTCCTTATATTAACAAGTTGCTAGGTTCAAAATTGTGATGAAGGCAACCGATTTCAGTGAGAGGGTAACTAAATCTTACTAAAAACTTTGATGAGTGGCAAGAACGGTAGATTACAAATCCTTCTGCTTCTTTTTCTTCGCATTTCAAGCGCATATTAGCTTATTGTGTGCTCTCAACTTAGTGTTCTAGATGCACTTCCACAGTTATTAATTGAGAGCTATCGATGCCTGTACCATTTTTTGTATTACTATAACCGATTAACCAACGTGACAGCTTATAGAAGCCACATTCAAATTTTTGCCCAAATCGCCATATTTAAAATACGTTAAACCGTACGGTACACTACCCCGAACGCCGTTACCCCGAATAGTACTCTACCCCGAATGGCCATTACCCCGAATTCATTTCCAAAAGCTTTTTATTTCACTTATTGTCTTTTGTTGGTTAAACACTGGTACTATATTGTAAATATAACAAAAAGTTAAACCTATGTATTAATTAACAACAGGGTGATTCCAGTCAAAAAGTCCAAGTGTTCGACGTTTTTTTTTTTGAACGTCAAACTGGTTTGATGTTGATATCGGAGTTAGTCAATACGATACTAAGAAAAAATTTCACAGAATATCATCCAATCAGGGCCGGTTTAACAATTAATGGGGGAACGCCTTTGGCATAAATCCACTTGGCTTAACATAACGTATCATAAAGGTCCTTTGACATAATGGTCCTTTGGTATTGTTGTGGTTAATGCAGTCACCGGGCGGTCCCTTGTTTCAGCGTGAGAGTATTCGTGAACGAGAAGAATATATAGGATAAATGTCAGTCGAATTGTCAGACGATACAAATGTCAAATGTAGAATTGCTTTGTCATTATCTGGTGAATCGAGTGCAACATTATATATTATTACGTAAATATTATACTACAGTAAATTAGTACCTTTTATTTGATTTATATTCTTGTTTCTAGACTGGATAAGAGAAAATTGAATTCTTTATTTGTTACATTCATTGGTACATTGTGTAAGGAGACTAAATGTAAGAAAACATGAATTTATATTGTTGCTATCCTAACCTTAAATAAATTTACAGCTTTGAGCTATCTTGATCGGGAACACAGACGAGTTGCTTTGAAGACCTCCGAAATAATTTCAACATAATCTCAAAGATTTATAGAGTACCGAGAATGGAGAAATCGTTTGTTCGTCAGACTCGTTCCAAGACCAAGGCTGCCAAACAGTCTAATCTCTTCGGTGAAGAACATCTTAGTACTTCTGAACACGATCTGGACCTGACAGAGGATGGATTTATGCCTTCGATGATCGATTTGGAGCACGGACAGGATCTCAATTGTGCTGTATGTGATCAACCCAACAACGCAGAATTGTATATGGTCCAATGCGGAGGATGCAAGCGTTGGAACCATTTTTCGTGCGCGAGGGTGGATACGAATACTGTCCATTCGAAGGAGTTTTGCTGTGCGGAGTGTTCGTCGAAGAGAGTACCAGAGCGATCAGCTAGGTCGGGATCTGGTCGATCGAGTGCTACAAGCGGTCGTAGGTCCCACATTGACCGTGAAATCCAACGTCTGGAGGACGAGAGGCGAGCTGAAGAGCAGGTAGAACAGGAGCGGATACAGCAGGAGAAGTTGCTGATTGAGAAAGCCGCTAAGGAGAAACTGGAGCGGGAAAAGCAGTTCATAGCTAGAAAGCACGAGTTGCTCCGCCAGCAGGACGATGACATTGAGAGCTTTGTGAGTCGTCGTAGTAGCAGTAGTAGTATACTAAAGGTGGAGAAATGGGTTGAGCAGCATATTTCCCGCACCGGCGCCGTCGGTGGTAGTGAGAAAGAAAACATTCCAGAGTCGGTCGAACCACAAGAGTCTATCCCTGTTGGTTCGTCTACTCCGTTGGGTGGTAGCGCAATCACTGCTGGAAATCAGCAACCAGCTGCTGACGAGCAACGGGCATCTGTACCCCGTACGATCGAGAGCATCACTATTGGTGACAGTCCGGAGGAAGATTTCCCCAAGTTGCATTTGGTAAACATTCAACCATACACGCGGCTTTTGGAGGAGTCAGGACCAAACTTTCCAAGTATTGAACTGACCTTGAAGCGACCGAATACCGGTGCGAACCCGAAGATCATTGGAAAGTTAACGAACCCTATCTCTCGCCCTACCCCCTTTGAAAAATGGACGCGTGAGACAAATGAACTTCAAAAGCGTAGCAAAGCGGAACTGCAGCAAGCATACGACGAGAAGAAGGAATTAGAGAATCGATTACACGAAATTGAATCGAACTTGAAACGGCAACGTCACATGGAACTAGAGCACCAGCAGGAGAACGAATTGAGGCGAAGGCGAGAAATAGAACTTGTAAACCGACTGAATCGACTGGAGGAGCAGCGTGCAGGAGAGCGGCAACAGCTACAGGAAGTGGAAAACGCATTGAAAAGACAACTAGAGGATAGTCAGCAACGATATCAGGCACTGGAAACCAAACGGCGGCAAGAACATGCTGCGCGAGAAGAAGAGCTACGGCGACTTAAAGAACGAGAGCAGCAGCTTGCTCAGCAACTGGAATCGGTTCTTCTACGAGAGAAAATCGGACATCCATCACATGCAGCATTACCGGAGTCCACGGGAAGTGGTACATCTCTGGCGTCCATGGTGAGTGATTCTCGATTTCATAGTTTCGAAGCAGATTCTGTAGCGTATGCGGATTGAAAGACACCTTGTCCTAGTGTCATTAGTACGGTGGGTAGAGCAGGAACACCTTGCACTTTTACCATAAATCGAGAGATAGGGCCGACAAATGTAACGCAGTTTAATCAATACCACCCTCCAGGGTTAGACAATTTCGGTAGGACTAATTTCTTGAATGCCCAATACGGACCTACGCGTCAACAGCTAGCAGCTAGACAGGTGATCCCAAAGGAACTCCCCACGTTTTCTGGGGATCCTACTGAATGGCCTCTCTTTGTAAGTAGTTACCAGCATTCAACAGATGCATGTGGCTATTCAGACTCGGAAAATTTGCTGCGTCTACAACGTCGGTGAGCAGCTTTCTGCTACACCCATCGACAGTACCTCAAATTATGTCAACTCTACAGACCTTGTATGGGAGGCCCGAGCAAATCGTGCATCACATGGTGACCAAAGTTCGTGCCACTCCCGCACCAAGAGCGGACAAGTTGGAAACTCTAATCCAGTTTGGTCTAGTTGTCCAAAATCTGTGTGGACATCTACAAGCGATTGGAATGGAAAATCACCTTTCCAACCCCATTCTACTACAAGAGCTCGTCGATAAACTTCCAGCCAACATCAAATTCAGCTGGGCACTGTACCAGGAGCAACAGCCGATTGTCAACTTGAGGACGTTTGGCGAATATATGGGAAGAGTCACGACCGCTACTAGTGGAATAACTAATGTTTGTCCGATTTCAAAGCATCAGAAAGATGAAAAACCTAAGGCGAAGGAAAAAGCATATGTGAACACACATACTACGTGCGAAAAGAAGAAGCAAGGATCATCTGCCAGTCTTCCTAAAGGTGATCAACGGGTAGAGTCATCGAACATAAAGCGCAACGAAAGCGATACAAAAAAGGAATGTCCGTTGTGCAAATCGCATGACCACATCGCAGAGAAGTGCGTCGAGTTCAAGAAGCTCTCAGTGAACGAACGCTGGAAAGTGGTGAAGGAAAAGAAACTCTGTCGGAGATGTCTGATCGCACACACTCGCTGGCCATGTGAAGGCGAAGTTTGTGGAGTAAACGAATGTCAGAAACGTCACCATCGGCTACTTCATTACGACCCTAAGCCGGAACAGCCTTTGACTACTACGAATGCCACTGTCACTGTCCACCGACAACCAGTTACGTCGACCTTATTCAAAATACTACCGGTCACGTTGTACGGCAAGACAGGCACTATCGACACTTACGCATTTCTTGACGATGGATCATCTACAACTCTCCTAGAGCAATCAATAGCTGACGAACTTGGGGTCGATGGCAAGGTGCAATCCTTGTACATGCAGTGGACCAGCGGAATCAACAAGAAAGTGGCTACAACACAAATCGTTAAGCTAGGTATTTCGGAACCTGGGAGTAGAAAGGTGTATCAGTTATCAGAAGTCTACACAGTTGAGAACTTGGGGCTTCCGGAACAATCGATTGATGTAGATGAGTTAGCTAAACAGTACAAGCACCTACAACGTTTACCGGTGAAGAGTTTCCAGAGGGCTACGCCAGGACTGCTGATTGGAGTAAATAATATTCATCTACTAAATACTGCCAAAATACGTGAAGGGAAGGAGCAAGAGCCTATTGCTGCAAAAACTCGCATCGGATGGGTTGTTTGCGGTTGTCTGCGTGGTGAAGAGAATCAGTTTCTACATCGTCAGATGCACATTTGTGCGGAATTAACCGAGCTCGATCTACATAATTACGTTCGAGAATTCTTCTCGGTGGAAAGCATAGGTGTCGCCGTTGCACCGAATTTGGAAGGCAAGGATGATCAACGGGCGCGCTTGATCCTTGAAGGAACGACGATACGGAAGACGGACGGAAAATTCGAGACAGGGCTGCTGTGGAAACAAGACGATTTCGAGTTCCCTGACAGCCGACCGATGGCCGAGCGACGACTGAAATGTCTCGAGCGGCGCTTGGAGAGGGATCCGAAGCTGTATGATAGCGTGCGTCAACAGATAGCAGATTACGAGTTTAAAGGGTACATCCACGTAGTGACCGATGAAGAAAGGGCTAAGTTTGATCCACGCCGTACTTGGTACTTGCCGCTTGGGGTAGTCTTAAATCCCAATAAACCTGGCAAAGTGCGCGTGATATGGGACGCGGCTGCCAAAGTAAATGGTGTGTCGTTGAACACGATGTTACTAAAGGGACCGGATCTGCTGACCCCGCAAATGAGCGTAACGTTCAAATTCCGTGAACGAGAAGTGGCGATGTCTGGGGATATTCAGGAAATGTTTTTGCAAGTCGGGATCAGAGAAGAAGATCGAAGTGCACTTTTATTCGTTTTCCGTAACTCCCCATCTCAGCCCATGGTCACTATGGCGTCTGACGTTGCTATATTCGGGGCGACCTGTTCGCCAGCACAGTCTCAATATGTAAAGAATCTGAATGCGGCGGAGCACGAGCAAGAATATCCACAGGCGGCTGCGGCAATTAAGAATAAGCATTACGTCGACGACTATCTCGACAGTGTCGACACAGAAGAAGAGGCGGTTGAGTTGGCATTGGCAGTAGCGGAAGTGCATCAAAAAGCAGGCTTTCATATTCGGAATTGGGTGTCAAACAGGTGCAAGGTTCTGGAAGCTATTGGAGAGATCAATCCAGCAACAGTGAAGAACCTAACGATGAACAGTCAGAGTGGTTTTGAGCGATTGCTGGGGATATCGTGGTTGCCCGGTGAAGACGTCTTCTGCTTTAAACTTGGCGTACAAGGAGAGCTTCAAGAACTAGCAAAAGGTGATAGAGTGCCCACCAAACGGATGATGCTCAGTTTCTTAATGAGAATTTACGATCCATTAGGGTTGGTGGGTTCGCTGGTGATCCAGGGAAAAATATTAATACAGGACGTGTGGAAAACAAACGTGGAATGGGATCAACAGATCCCTGAAGAACTTGTTGGGCGTTGGAAGGCGTGGCTGCAAGTGCTGAAGGAGTTGGAAAACGTGAAAATCCAGCGATGTTACTTTCCCAGGTACGATCCTAACTGCTACGATTCATTGGAGCTTCATATCTTTGTGGATGGTAGCGCACAAGCATATTCTGCAGTCGCTTACTTTCGCGTACGTGACCGAGGGCAGATACGATGCTCTCTGGTTGCGTCCAAAACAAAGGTTGCCCCACTGCAGCTTTTGTCGACCCCCCGTATTGAGCTGCAGGCGGCGGTAATTGGCACACGGTTGCGTAAAACAATAGAAGAAGGTCATTCCGTCAAAATCAAGCGAACGTATTCCTGGAGCGATTCAAGTACAGTTGTCTCTTGGATTAGATCGGACACCCGACGTTACCGACAATATGTAGCTTTTCGCGTCAATGAGATCCTGAGTTTGTCGAAAGTTGACGAGTGGCAATGGTTAGGAACGAAGATTAACGTAGCAGACGAGGCAACAAAATGGGGGAAAGGCCCGAACTGCAAACCAGATAGCAGGTGGATGCGTGGACCAGCGTTCTTGTATGAAGAGAAGGATGACTGGCCGAGAGATAGGTTGGAGTTACTGGATGAAACTGTGGAAGAACTACGTCCAGCATACGTGTGCAGCCATATGTTGATAGTTCCAGTGGTTGATGTAGATCGTTTCTCGAAGTACGAGCGACTACTACGTAGTGTCGCGTACGTACATCATTTTTACGACGTCATGCTGCAACGTGCAAGAAATGGACTTCGTGATCACTCAGGAGTATTGACATGTGATGATTTGCAGAAAGCTGAACGAATTTTGTGGCGTATTGCGCAATCGGAACATTATCCAGATGAAGTGGCGACATTGAAACGTAACATGGATGCGGGGCCAGAACAGCGGAAACCGTTGGACAAAAATAGTCCGATTACGAAACTGACTCCACAGCTCGATGAACATGGAGTTCTACGATTCAGTAGCCGACTCGCAGCAGCTGAATACGTCAGCTATGATACCAGATATCCTATTATCCTACCAAGACAACATCAGATCACTAAATTGCTTTTGGATTGGTACCATCGTAAATTCCGACACGCGAACAACGAAACTATCGTTAATGAAGTCAGGCAGAAATTCTATATCCCGAAGTTACGAATTGAAGTACGTTCTGCAGCTCGTCGCTGCCAATGGTGTCGTGTCTATAAAGTTAGACCTGTACCTCCAAAAATGGGACAACTTCCAAGGGTTCGAGTCACGCCATTCTTACGACCATTTACATTTGTAGGGATCGATTACTTTGGGCCCTACTACGTAAAGGTAGGACGCAGCTCGGTCAAACGCTGGGTTGTTTTGTTTACGTGTCTCACTATCCGCGCAATACATATGGAGGTAGCCCACGGTTTAACAACTGATTCGTGTAAGAAGGCCATTCGGCGATTTGTCGCCCGAAGAGGAGCTCCGCAAGAAATATATACTGATAATGGCACGAATTTTGTAGGTGCTAGCAGGGAGCTTCAAAACGAGTTGCGATCGATTAATACTACGATGAGCAGTACGTTTACGGACGCGAATACCAAGTGGAGGTTCAACCCCCCAGCAGCACCTCATATGGGTGGCTGTTGGGAGCGAATGGTTCGATCCGTGAAAACTGCATTAGGATCGTTACCAACAGCGCGAAAGCTGGATGACGAGGGGTTCGTGACGCTGCTGGCTGAAGCAGAACACATGGTCAACTCGCGACCGCTAACGTTTGTACCACTGGAACATGAGCAACAGGAGTCTTTAACCCCGAATCATTTTTTGATGCTGAGTTCTAGTGGAGTGCGTCAAGCGGTCAAAACCCCCGTGAACACAAAGAAGGCTTTGGCAGAGGGATGGACTTTAATCCAACATATGATGGACATATTTTGGCAGCGATGGATTGTCGAGTACCTACCGGTTATTTCCCGACGCAGCAAATGGTTCCAAGATGTAGCACCGGTAAAGGAAGGAATGTTAGTGGTGATAGCTGGTGAAGGGAACCGTAATGGTTGGGTACGAGGTCGAGTGATCCGAACTTATCTAGGTAAGGATGGAATAGCACGTAAAGCGGACGTAGAGACATCTAGCGGTGTGTTAAATAGACCTGTGAACAAACTAGCGGTACTTGATGTAGTTCCAGTTGGTGACGCCGAAAAGGATCTTGTGCGTCACGGTGGGGAGGATGTTGTGGTTAATGCAGTCACCGGGCGGTCCCTTGTTTCAGCGTGAGAGTATTCGTGAACGAGAAGAATATATAGGATAAATGTCAGTCGAATTGTCAGACGATACAAATGTCAAATGTAGAATTGCTTTGTCATTATCTGGTGAATCGAGTGCAACATTATATATTATTACGTAAATATTATACTACAGTAAATTAGTACCTTTTATTTGATTTATATTCTTGTTTCTAGACTGGATAAGAGAAAATTGAATTCTTTATTTGTTACATTCATTGGTACATTGTGTAAGGAGACTAAATGTAAGAAAACATGAATTTATATTGTTGCTATCCTAACCTTAAATAAATTTACAGCTTTGAGCTATCTTGATCGGGAACACAGACGAGTTGCTTTGAAGACCTCCGAAATAATTTCAACAGGTATAATGGTCCTTTGGCATAATGGTCATTTGGATTCTAAAACATTCCCCAGAAAACCATTCCCCCGAAAATCATTCCCCAGAAAACCATTCCCTAGAATTCCATTTCCCAGAATGTATCATTTTTTTTTCTTCTTTTTATATACGCGAATGGAGATTCCTGGAGTAACTATATAGTTACAATATTGCCAATATTGCAATATTGCCTCTAAACCCTATTCTGCGCGCTGGTTTGTAGTATCTTAGAATATGCTTCCCCAGTGTGGTCTTCATTTTACACTACGCATACTCTCACGATTGAACGGATTCAGAAAAGTTTCATGAGGTTTGCTTTACGTCAGCTCCCATGGAATCATCCAGTCATTCTTGCTAACTTTCCAGACCGATGCATGCTAATTGATTTGGAATCTCTCTCAGCAAGGCGTATCAATTTGCAACGAATGTTTATTTTCAACCTAATTACCGCCAATGTGGACTGTCCCAAACTCCTGGAACGGATTCCATGGAACATTCCTCCTCGCAGATTTCGTAACTCCCCTCAATTCCTTTACACAGAAATAACTTTGGATCCAATAACTGTTTTAATTCCTGTTTGCGTTCCTTTAATGATGTTTGATTTGACTATGATGTTTAGTAATTAAATAAGAGGTTTGGATTAAACAAGTTTTAGTTTTAAGTAATGAGTCTGTACGACGTAGTCGAAGATGGTGTGCAATAAATAAAAATAAATAATAAAATCATATAGGAGCTCAGGAAATTAAATACATTTATTCCATATAAAACTTAACTTAAATCATTAAAACAAAGCTTATTGAGCGTTAACAATTTGTTTTTTTTATATCTTTGATTATTCAATTAAAATTTTATATCTCAGTGACTGGAACTACCACGGTTCTCTTTATACACAGACCTTCCGAAAGCAAATTTCGGCCTTTGAAAAGCGCTCCAATCAAATATGTATTCAATGTCTACAGTTTGTTCACCGCAAAGCAGCCGATCAACCGGTAAGATGTCTTTTTGACATTCCGCCTCCACTCAGGTGCATCACATCCACATCACGAGGAGGTTAATGTTCATCTCGCTGCCAGCGCACACTGTTTAGCCCAAGATGAGCAACGGTTGCAGACAACTTTGTTGAAACGATCCTCGCTTGATGAGATGCTCTAACGCCGCCGCCATCCGCCTCCGTCACTCTTGTTTGTTCCGTTCCACACTGCATCTACAACTCAAACCCAACGTGTACCTATGTACCTATTTACATTAAGCTGATGATGATGAAAATCCAGCTTATTATCATGAAGCGTGCAGGAACATAACTGCCATGCACTGTTAGAAGTAATGCTTGGATGACTTCCAAGATTTTGGCATCCTATTCAGCTAGAGCACGGATGATGGCGGCAACCGACCGTCCGTTGTTGACTTTCATCTTTCCTTTTATTATTTTTCATTTTTCCACGGGTGATTGCACCTAGTATGTTAATGTGAATCACTCATCGTAGAGCAAAAGTTTGCCCCCGGGGGAAAACTGTCACCTGATAAGATTCATCCGAGCAGACACCAGCGCAGGTGTGATTGTGTTTGGGCTGCATGGTAATGGTGATGATTCGGGAAAGTCAAAGCCAAGAAAGATCAATATTTACCCATGCTTGAACTTACAAGTAGTGCTCCTCTGCTTTGGACTAAACTGTGAAGATTTCAATCAAATTAAAAATCACATGACATAAATTTTAGCAAACTACAAGGTCAACCTCTATCATCACGGCAACATATGAATTCTCTGATCTATCAACAGTGTCCAATGAGTTCGAAAACAATCGACGACATCATTAGACGACGACCATGTTCATTCGCAGCCAGCAGCGCTAAAATGAGCAGAAACCGTTTAGTCACCCCACAGCCGAATATCCCCCATCCGCGCGCAAACCATAAATCACTCGAGAGATCGTTCAGATAAATGTAACTTTCGAGCACAGTTGAAGCCATCGCGCGCGCAAACAAACAGG